TTTGAGCCCTAGTCCGGGAGGATCCCACATACCGCTGAGCAGCTGGGCCTGTGAGCCATGGCCGCGGAGCCTGTGCGTCCGGAGCCTGTGCTCCGCAACGGGGGAGGCCACGGCAGTGAGAGGCCCAGACAGCAGAGAGAGGGAGGGGTAATGGGGGTGGGACTCGGAGAACGCGGGTCAGAAGGAGACAGACAGGGTGGTCCAGTTAGATTTACAGATGAGGACGGGGAGGGGATCAGAGATGGGGTAGGTCAGGGAGTTCCTTCCTGATACTTTGTTTCCTTGGGGAAGGAAGCAGTGAGGTCTCCTGCAGAGAATGAGGTGCTAGGGAGGGAGATGTGAGGGAGAGAGAGGAAAAGCGGAGACAGGAAACAGCCACTGTGGAACACGGAGGGGAGAAAGAGCTAACCTGGGAACCATGGGGTCTCCATCAGTGTCAAGGGCTGAGCTGACATGGGAACGTTCGGATTTGGGGTGGGAACCATGGCGATGTTGTCTGATTGATTCCAGCACTCCCAATTCTAGAGCAGTGAGGGGAGACGGTTGGATTGGTCCAGGGTTGGGAAGGATAAGGCAGCAGGAAATAAGAGCAGGGAGGGCTGCTGCTTTGTTAAGAATATGCTGATTTAGGTGCGAGGTTCTCCATCCTGGCTGCCTGTCAGAATCACCTGCGGAAGCTCTTTAACCTGTATGGGCATCTGTCACCCATCCCAGAGCCACTGAATCAGAGCCTCTGCGTTCTGACAGTTTTATCTTTAAAAAGGTCTACAAGTGATTCTGGTGTTCAGCCAGGAGGGAGGACCGCTGGTCTAAACTGGACGAACCTATTTCAGTCCAGAGCGCAAAGCTCTTCCTGCTGCATTTGGAATGTGGGGCACACCCAGCCTGGCCCGGTTGGCACCCTAGTCCCTGGGGGGGAGGGTACTTTTAAGACATCTTTGAGAAGTGGGTGCAACAGCATTTTCAGTAAGTTCAGAGATGAGTGTGGGGTTGGGCAAAGGTGGGCAGAGTGGTGGAGAGCCTAGCTTGGTTTCAAACCTGTGACTTTCCCTGAACGTTTAACTGGAGCCCAAGAGGCCCTGGAACCCAATGTTAGCTTTTCTAGAGCAAGGTCATAGTGTGAATCTCCGTGTGTCCTGGGTGCCTTGGCAATGGGCACTAAAGTAAACCGTGCACACCATGGGGGGTGCAGAGCTGTGACCACCCCATCCCGTAGGCGCTGTACCTATCCAGTGACTGAGCAGAGTTTCAGTGCCCACACTTCCGGCTCTTTCACTAACCACCACTTCATTTATCTTATCTAAGAGAGACGCGAGTGAATTTTCAAACCAAAGTTCATTCTAATCTGCACCTGAAAAGTAGTGATGAGTGAATATCCTGATTATAACGTGGATTCTAGTCATTACAGACCGTGAAGCTTAATATTTGAAGGACGTATGTTAAAGAAATGTTTACTTAGAAAAAACCAGAATGAATTCACTGATGCTCCGTGAACTAAGAGGACTGCCATAGTGGTAGGTGGATAAGCCCCTTAGACAGTGTAACTTGATTTCTACGAGTGGTTGAGAAAGGTCCTTAACGATGGAGGCGAGATGGAGAGATGGGTGCCGGGTGACCATACAAAGGGAAAAAGTAATATCTGGTTAAAAGTCTTATCAGAGAGTAACTTGAATGGCATGCATGCTTTCTTCTTGAGCCCTTCCACATCTCTGTCAGGAATTTGGATGAAAATGTAGGAGGCTTGCTTATCACACTTGTGGAAGGTTCAAAACTAGAAGGGGAAGCTTACTTGTAGGGTGAATTAATCAGGAGTCAGAAAGACCTTGGTAGATTGAAACAGTGAGTCTAAACAAATGTGATTATCTTCTCTTAAAAAGATTGTTTTCTTAGTTAGAAAAGCAACAAATGTGCATTGTAAAAAAAAACAAGGCAGACAGTACATAAAGGTCTAAAAAGGAAGTTGGCGTAATTTGTTCTTTGTGAAAACATGCTGGCTTTTTCTGAAATAAATGTTTGTTTAATGCACATCCTCCCAACGTCATGCTTAATGGTCTGAAAAGACTGTCTCCAGTAGATGAAAGCGTATGCATTTGAATTTTGATACATGCTGCCAGAGGGCTCTGAGAAGGACCATATACATTTCCATTCTCTCATCATTTAAGGGCAAGTGTCCTTCCCCCCAACCCCGAACAGTCCCTAAGCTGCCTGCTCTTTATAAATTCTATACTTTTAAAATTACTATATCAGGATAAAGCTTAATTGAAATAAACCTATTGCATGAGATTTAGAAATCAGTTGCACAAATCTAGCGAGCGGAGAGAAGCCTGCTTTGAGAAAGCCCCGGCAGTTTTAACTGACTACAAGCTTCCATCAGTAGCATGATGCCTGGTGCAGAGCGAGCTCAGCTGGGCGCCGTCCCACAACATCTAGGCCCTGTTTCTGTTTCTTCCCAGCATTTTCGGACTAGAAGGTGTCCAGCAGATTCCTGCCCACCAAAGGCTGTCCAGGGTGGAGAAAGGCCTGGAAGCTATGCCATGGGAGGAATAGTTGAGACAGTGGTGTCTGTTCACCTGGGGAAGAAAGCCTCTCAGTGTTCATAGTTATTCCTGGATATTTGGAGTTGTTTTGTGTTAAGTGTTTGGTGGTTCTGTGTTCAGAAGGGAATAACTAAGACCGATAGTCGAAGTACCAGGGAGTCAGGTTCTGGTTCACCGTCGGGGGGTGACTTTCTCACGATTACAGCTGATGGCCAGTAGATTGGCTGCTGTGCAGGGCGGGGAGCGCCGGACGCGGGGCGCGCGGCGCGGGCACGGGGCAGCTCTCATTGCAGAGCTAACGGGGGAGGGTTCTTTTCCGTCTTTAAGACACCTTTTGAATGAAATATGTTCAAATGAAAATGCAGCCAACAGTTTACAGACACCCAAGTACCTACCAGTCAGATTTGACATTTTAATATTTGTGACGTTTTCTTCGTCTTTGTGTCTGGGTTTTTTTTGTTTTTTTTTTAAGATACACAGCACTAGAGATCAAGGTGCAGTGTTTCCCCCATCCCCATCCTCTCCTCCTCCTTTCCCCCTCAAGTTGCTGTGATATAGCTTCTTATCCTTGTTTTTATGTTTGTTACTACCTATGTTTGTATACGTCTATAACACGCATTATTATTTTGAGAGATAGGTCTCTTTTTGCATCATTCTTTTTACATTAAACATTATTTTTCAAGAGGTATCTATGCTAATACATATAGATCTAGTTCATTATTTTAACTTTCATGTATAAATATATAATTATTTTGCTGTGAAAGAATTTTAGGCTGTTTTCGGTTTGTTTGTTTTTTTACTATTACAATAAGTCCTACATTGAATAGCATTTTATGTGTTGGAAGAGGATTGTCCATTGGCAAGAGGTTTGAACTGGATGTGGCTTCATGTCCCTTCCAGCCCTAAGATGCAAAGTTCAGTTCAGTTTAACCAACATGTCCTACCGTGAGGATAAAAAGATTAAGGCATGGTCCGTGCTCAAGGAATTCACTGTTTAAAGACTCTGTGAACTGTGTATTATTTACTGTTTGTAGTGTCATTTTTAGGCATCTGTAAAGCTTGGCTGGTTTAGGCGATCAGTCACTTTACTATGATGGGGCATTGTCTGAGATATCTATAGTTTTTGGTATAATTTTCAGTGTCAATATTAACTAATAATTTTTGATGAGATGATTTATGTGTCCAAGATCATTTGAGATTATTTTTTTTTCCAGAGCTATTTGTCCACTTATGTATGTTAAAGAACTGTGTTCTGTTTTACCCTTTCTATTGAGGTGTGCTCCTTGAAAAATTAATAATGCCACTTACGGTAGATATCTGTGTGTTTTGTGTCTTGTATTGTGTTTTTAGGAAAAAGGCTCAGCTCAAGAAAAAAAGAGGTGTGCCTCAGATTAATGAACAGATGCTATTTCATGGCACCAGCAGTGAATTTGTGGAAGCAATTTGCATTCATAACTTTGATTGGAGAATCAATGGTATACACGGTGCTCTCTTTGGAAAAGGTAACTATCAGAATCCAGTCGGAGCGCTAGAAGAGAATCTCCTCTCCTGAGAGAGGATTGACTGTTTGTAGCTCAGGGGCTTGAGAGTCACTAAGTTAAGAGTTACTGTACTGGGTTCCTGGCACACCCTCAGAGTTTCTGAGACACCGAAAAGCCACTTCCTGCGTGTGCAAGATGGAAGGAAGACTTTTTACACCTCTACCAGATTAGATAACCCCCAAGTCCCAGTCATTCAGATGGGGCATCATATCCAGATTAGCTGATTTTTGCGTTATGACGTTTACTTTCCATGCATAAGTCCTTTCCATGGATAAACCCATACACTGAACTTTTTATGTCAAGTACATAGAGCACTATAAAATAAATCAGTTAATGTGTACATTGTACATAGGTCTATTTTTTTGTTTGTTTTGTTTTTTAAAAAATGATAGGTAGGAATATTAATGAGCATCAAGGAGTAATGGGGGAATCCTCACCTTTTTTCTAATGCTGTGAAAGTCTGAGTTCTCCAGTTTGTGTTCACTACTCAAGCAAATTAAGGAGAGAGGGGAGCGGAAAAGGTAAGGGGTGGACATTTCTTTGCTTGGTCCTTATTTTGTACCTTCCCTCCAGCAAGAGAACTGGCTACCACTCAGGATCAGGAGGTGCTACATTTTTTTTGTTTTGTTTTGTTTTGCGGTACGTGGGCCTCTCACTGCTGTGGCCTCTCCCGTTGCGGAGCACAGGCTCCGGGCGCGCAGGCTCAGCGGCCGTGGCTCACGGGCCCAGCCGCTCTGCGGCATGTGGGATCCTCCCAGACCGGGGCACGCACCCGTGTCGCCTGCATCGGCAGGCGGACTCTCAACCACTGCACCACCAGGGAAGCCCACGAGGTGCTACATTTTTAAGAGTAAATTAATTTTAAAAATAACGACTTTAAAGGCCATCCCATTTATTTAACTGTAAGAGGATCAGAAAGGTGTTACATTAAGTCCCATCGGATCTGGGTAATAGGAGACTTTGCAGTTCATTTCCGAAATGTTTTAGGGTAAGTATTCCCTTCATGATGTCAGCCTCCTAGGCCTACCACTTTGGAAGAGTCGGATTCTTCGTGGAGGTTTCCTCTTTAGGCAGTGGACAAGTGAGCTTGTCCTTTTGGAACGTTCAGGTGTGAATAGCATCACACTCTCCAGAAATCTTTTCCTGGATATGGGGTTCTCTCAGCTCCAGAAATATTATTGAACAGTTACCTTGTAGCACAGAAATGTGGTTTCTTGGGGTTTGAAATCATCTCTGCAGACCCATAGTTTCACTGTGCTGTCCAGTGGATGCTTAGATGGGTGGGTGGTGGATAGGGAAAGGGTGGAAGGAAACAGAAGTGGGAGGGAGGTCCGAGCTGTGACAAGGCAGGTCCTGTCACTTGTAATCACAGAAACCATTTGTATCCATCTTACGTATTGGATTTCTTTATAAGACTCTTTTTGAAAACACAAGTCTGGTTGCTACGTTTTGGTGGGGGACTCTTGCCTGTACTAACAGATCTATCCCAGTGGCAGCCTGCATCACAGCTGTCCATAACAGACGGATTTCTGTTCTTTTCTTTAAAACCTACCGGCGAGGAAGTTCCATGTCTATTCCTGTTACACAATTCCGTGTGTCTCTCCCCCTAACAATCACAGTGTTTTTTTTTGCTTGTGTTTCATACACTCCTTGGAGTAATCTTGGCTCTTCGGGCTCCTTTTTGTTTAAGGAACCTATTTTGCTCGAGATGCTGCTTATGCCAGCCGCTTCTGCAAAGACGACGTAAAGCACGGAAACACATTCCAGATTCACGGCGTAACCCTGCAACAGCAGCATCTGTTTAGAACGTACAAATCTATGTTTCTTGCCCGAGTGCTGATTGGAGATTACATAAACGGAGACTCCAAATACGTGCGCCCTCCTTCCAAAGACGGGAGCTACGTGAATTTGTATGACAGCTGTGTGGATGACACCTGGAATCCCAGGGTCTTCGTGGTGTTCGACGCCAACCAGATCTACCCCGAGTACCTGATAGACTTTCATTGATTTCATGTCCAAGCTTCCGTGGTCAAAGAAGTTTTATTCTTTTTCCCAGGGAGATCTGCTTGCCGGTCACCTAGCTGCTCAATGTTAATTATCTGATCCTTTTGAAACAGATATGAAAGAAAGGGGCCTCCCTATAAAAAGACATACTGACTTTAGGGTTGGTTTGCTGTTGTTTTGTTTTTGTCCATTGCTCATGTTTGTTACTCGTGTTTGTTACAGATCGATACCATTGCTGTTTTAACACCTGGGGTGAAAGACAGCGCTCAAAACGCAATCATCTGAGTCCCTCCATCTTTAAAGTTTACATCCGTGTCTTCAGGGTAAATGTTTTCAGCTCAAATAGACTTATTCATATGTATGTTCAAAAAATAAAAATATAGACACAAAGGTGTCCCTTGGGAGGAGCTGAGCCTTTGTAAACGAATTCTGAAATGATCGTCCACCTATCTATGTGTTGCTTTGTTAGTCTTCCGAAGGGGGGTGGAATTTAAAACCTTGAAGCAGCCTGAGTACCTTGAGAGAAATAGAAACAAGAGAATCGTTGGCAGTGCTGCCAAACAAGCCAGAAGGAGAGGATCGAGACGGGGTGCCCTGCTCCCAATGCCTTCGGGCGGCAGCCTGCACACTCGGCCTTGCCTTTCTCCTTCTCTTCTGCTGAACTGACTGTAATCAGCCCGCGCGTCATCCCCCAGCGCTCCTGAATTCTTGTACCAAGACTTACTGCACAAGGTTTTTATTGCATCTTCAGAAGGAAACTTTTATTTGTTATTTAAAACACATACTTTCCCTTTGTTTTGGGGTCCCTACAATGATTACTTCTAAGAGATTTTTTGATCTGCCGCCCCCCCCCCACACACACAGCTATTCAGCAATGATTTATAAAATTCACATTTCTAAATTGTATCTTCCCATTTTGAATCATTTACAGAAAGCCTGGGTCGCTTGGAACAAATCTGGTTTATTCTTTGGAGTAGCAGTTGACAATCTGCTAACTCTCTTGAAAAGTTAGGTATAATGCATAATCATGCCCAGTGGAAGTTTGTTTACCTGGTGCATCTGTTTGGCTATTCTATTTTAAGGAGGGCTAAGTGATGTTGGAACAGCTTCCTGCCCCTCAAGCTATTCTAGCAGAGGCTGGACAGCAACGAGGCAGAGATGTTATACAGGAGTTTGGGTGTCAGGTGGGGGAATTGGCCATATGACTGTTAAGTGTTTTTCCAACCTTGATTTTCTGTGATTCTACCTGAAAAAAAAAAAAAAGAACACTGGTATCTTTTCTGGGAAACCTTTTTCTAACTCAGTTTAATACTAAATTCCCTCTCCATCATCTTCACTCAGTTTGTGCTGAAAGGTAGTGAACGTAATTTAACTTCTCAAGAAAAATCCAGTAAATGTCTATGCCTGGGATGCTCGTTCCCTCACTTGAACTGGGAAGGCATCTAGAAATAATACAAATAAGGAGTTGGGAGCATGATTAGGTGTGTAGTTCTTCAGCTGCCACATACCCCCAGATCCTCATCGTAGCCCAGAGTACACGTGATTGTGCAGCCGAAAGTAAGTCGTGCACAGGGAGTACCTAGTACTCAGGAAATTGCATGTCCAATACTTTGCAGTCAAGTGACAACAAAGGTTTCCCAATTCTGATGTGCAGACTAACAGCCGGTTTTGATGGAGCGCTGTTAGTGTTTAGAAAGGACGCATCTTAGAAACATGCTGAGGTCATCAGGGAAATAAAGGCGGGAAGGTCACCAGGCTGCCTTGTGGGAGGTGGCACACCGCTGCTCCGGACTCGCTCCCAAAAGAGGACCTTAGAGATATCCGGGAGTCAGATTCTGAAAAGCTCTTTCTTCTGCTTACTTGTTATTTGCATACAAATGATGTCAAAATGGTCCACACTTCCACACGGCTACCTTTTTTTTTTTTTTTTTTTCCCAACTTAACATGATTGCCTCTTGCATCATTTGAATGGGATAACTGTTGTAGCTTTGGGAGTTGTTACTCTTTTGGACACGTGCCGATCTGTTCTACAGGAGACTAATAAGAGCCCAAGGTTGAAACTTGCAAGGCAACCGGTGTGAACTCTGCACTTTGCTAGCTGGCTCATCTCTGGTAGGCAGAGTGCCCTGCAATAGACACTGTAAGTAACAACTGTGCTGTTATTCATGTCAGAGACCCTACTCCAACTCCCCTTTTATAAGAAAGAGCTGACCGTGATGACCTTTTTAAACGTGATAGTGTTGAGTTCATCAATGTTCGTGTTCTCTTTGTTTTCATCAGTAGACCGAGTTGAGAATCGTATCATCAGTGTAATCAGACCAGACACCGCCGTTTTCCATCTTTTCTCTTGTCATCACATAGTGTTGGGGGTGGGAGTGGGGAGAGAAACATTCCAGAGTCATGAATACATGATTTTTAAAATTCTGCATTAAATACACTCGAGCTGATAGTAACTCTTCTACTTTGGTAATATCGGCCTCAGGGTGAAAAAAAACTGTGTTTATAAGAAACAGTCTCTCCTAAATCCTGGCGGTAACGAACAGGAAGGTTTTGTATTAATGCCAAATACAAAATACAATAGGCTGTTCCAGTGAGGGTGGTCAAGACTTGGGAGCCATTTTGGATGTATGAATGTATTGTTTTTACATGGAGTGATTAAAGCTTTTAGTAGCAGGTCCTGGAGGTCTGTGGGTGCCATGTATTTGTTTCTGTGATTTCTGTGTCTCATCTCCACCTTGCATTATTTAAACCTAAGTTTTCAGCTCAAACTTAATGGACTCAAACTTAATGGAGGTGGTTGTTTCCTGTAACTCTTATGTAACCGACTTGCAGGTGGGGGAAGACCCTTGCTCTCAGTTTGAATCATCAGAAGCACTAGCTAAGCATATAACCCGTGGGGAACAGCATTTACTCCGTGCAACTGAAAATTCTGAAATAGACCAAGGCCTGGCGCCTTTGCTCTCAGTGGCCCCTGGCCCAGAGGAGCATTCTGGAGGGTGTCGGCCGTCACCCGAAGAGCAAGCTTCCTGAGTCCACCAACCTCCAGCCACTCCCCGTATGTCCTTTTGAAGTGTGTTAGACATTTCACTTAATCTTTTAAGCTTCTGTTGGCCAAAAGGGAAGGTATCAAAGATACCTTAATTGTAGAGCTGGGAGAAGTGCAAAGCAGAATGACTAAGGCTTATCTACCCATGGAAACAGTCAAGTTTTCCGTTCGCTAAAACCGTTTCCCAGTCTGTCTAAATGCCGGACTATTACTGAGATTCATTATGATGAAAATTCACCTGAGCTTTGATGATGTAGAAAAGTGACATCTTTACAGAACTGTGCCTAAGCCATCCAGGTATTTGAGGCCACCTCCCAGATCACCAGGAGCAGTGCTAAAAACGGTCTTAATAGTGAGCGGTCCTGGTCGTGCTTCTGTCCCAGACTGCCCTCTGGCCCCAGGGAAGGAGGTTTTATTTATTTTTCAACAAACATTTTATTTTGCGTAAAACAGTCCACTTCTAGATGAAAGTATACATTCTGTACTTGTAAAGAGAAAAAGGAAAGGCAGTGAAAAGATAGCAGGGAAAAGAAAAACAAAAGCCTTGTCAAACATAATTTTTGATCAGAAGCTTTAGCAAAGTGATTTTGCTTCATTTTACCCCTTTGTACTAAATGCAGGAAGAGGTTTGGTGAAACAAGCCGCCCTGCCTCACTCCCTGTGAATAATTGGATCATGATGCTTGGGCACCGCTGATGGAAGAAAGGAGCATTTTAAAGAAATATGAGGTACCTGGTTCTCGGGGGCTGCCTGGTCAGTGAGAGTGATGTATAAGGGAGAGGTGAGCGCAGATGTCTTGGAAAGATGTTCATAGCTCATCATTAACCGTCACTGTTCCGCAGGAGTAGTTTTCTTCTCATGTTTTCCCAGACTCCAAGCTGGGAGCTAGCTGGGGAGCTGGTTTGGTCCCTCTCTTCCCCTGCCCCCCTCCTCTGCTGCCCTGGGCTCCATCCATCCCAGGTCAGAAGGTGTCTTGCTTATTCCTAACACCCGACGGCTCCTTCCTTGCTGTGACTCAGCTCGGCCTCCTGCTGTAAGATTATGTAATGCGTTTTCTCAACTCTAATTTCCTAGCTTTCGTTCCTCAGCCCTGCAGGCTAAGAACTTGGCTTTTATTTGAACTTTCTCCCTGTGTGGCTATGGATCTAAGAAATTAGCACTGGTTTCTTGTGAGAACGGAGCATAGGGCCTTGCCAAAGACATTTGTGTTCCCTGCAGCTTTTTAGCTTTGCTGTACCTTCTGTGGAGACGCTGCACAGCAAGCTGATTCCGACTCTCATCTCACTATTTAAGCCAGCTCAGGAGAGCCACAATCCAGAATTGAATTCAGATCATCTCTGCAATCTTAACCATAAATCCAGATGGTGCTTCTTGTGTTTTCCTGTTCCTTTTTAAGAAATACCTTGTCTTGAGAGGCTCATTACACTTTAGTACCTCCTTGGGTCATATGTGGAAGCTGCAGGCATTCTAAGTCCACACTCGATGGCATTCTGAGAGAATCAGTATTCCGGCCCAGTTCCTCCTCTTTATTCCTTTAAGAAAAAGATCAAGGAACTGCGCTGGCGCTCCAGGCAAGGGGCACGGGTTTGATCCCTGGTCTGGGAACTAAACTCCTGCAAGCCATGCAGCCAAAAAAAAAATCAAGCCCCATCTTTTTTTTTTTTTAACATCTTTATTGCAGTAGAATTGCTTTACAATGGTGTGTTAGTTTCTGCTTTATAACAAAGGGAATCGGCTATACGTATACATATCAAGCCCCATCTTGAGAGCGCTGATCCGAGTTTTCTTTCTGGCTTTGCTGTTTGGCTCCGTGTGACCTTGGATAACTCACCAGAGGGGGAAGGTCACTTCTCAGAAGGTGAAGTTTGTGAAGGACTGACTGGACTCTTGTTAGAAGAAAAGCCCGTGGGTGGATTTCTCTAGGCAACACCTGACCTGACAGGCCCAAGAGGCAAGCGTTTGGGATGGGAAGGGAAAGGGATTGACCTGGTTCTCCCCGAGTCTCCCGCCACTCAGTCTGTTCCTCCTTGAGTTCACGACTCTGAGTTCCTGGGTTGCGCCCAGCAGCGACCGAGCCCAACACAGCCCTGCCCTCGCGGGACCTACCGT